ATGGATGGCAAGACCCATAATTTGAGCCTTGCCCTTGCTCCTGAGGAGAGTGCAAAAGGTTGTAAGGCTGAAGAAGCACACATTCACTTCCATGAGCAAATACACACTTTCAAGATCAAGGCCGAATGCCAGGCCAAGGAATGTGCGCATTTAGAAGAGGAGAAGCAGTTGAAGGAAAAAGGCAAGGGAAAGGAGAAGAACGCCGCTGGAGAAGACTTTGTGATGGAGGATGGCCAGGAAGAGGCCAGTGAAGTACCACTGGTTCCTCTAAGGACATCTGTGACCTTATGTGCTGCCCGGTCTCATCACCTGAACCCCCTGTTACAGTCTCTGAGGATGAGGAACCCAATTCTCCTGTGTGCATTGAAAAGTGCAAGCTGCCTGAGGGTGAAGATCTGGAAGACTTCGACCTGCTTGTCAATGCGAATGTGAGTGATGAAGACTTGCTTATGGAGGGTCAGGTGCGTGCCCTCTATGCTAGGGTTTCCACTATGCATGGGATGATGCTGGAGGTGATGAATGAGTTGGATGTTATTGCAATTTACTACAAGAAGAGAAGGTGGTTTCTGTAGATAGTTTTCCCTTTTGACTTGAATCAACACACATGTACATTAGAATACCCTTGGATAGCGTCAAATGGAAGTGTTTTGACCAGTTGGAATCCTTGGGTGCACACCTTGAGTCCTAAGTGTCCAGTATCCATATCCCATGTCCATGTCCTATGTTCCGGTCCTACTCCACTGGGTGCCTAAGAGATAAGTGAGATAAAATGAGCATGTGTGCACACTGCAGAAGAAGTGGAAAGATATGTGTCACTTGTGGGTTTCTGCCCAGCTTGTCTTCCTTGTTGCGCTATCATCCTCTATCCCTGCTGTGCAGTGGTGTGGTCAAATCCTTGGTACATATCAATGTGCGTGGTGCACTGCCTACACATTCAAAGAGAATTTGTATGGTAATCATTGAGCGTGTGTATAATCTAGTCCTTCAGCAATGTCTGTGTGTGATTAGGGTCTACAGTGGCTCAAAAAACTGTCCGCATGTTTTGACATTTTTCACTATCTATGATATTGTGTGAGAACAAACAAATGCGTCAAGGACATGCTTATACCACATTGTAGTATGGCTTTAGGGCTTTCATTTGAGCCCTACACCGTGGGAATCGGTGGAGATATGGTGGAGATACAAGGCTCACAAAATGGTGACTCATGCGGACAGTTTTTTGACTCAAGTATTTTACAATAATAACCAGGTATTCTAGTATTTTGTATGACCTCCCTTGGCTTTAATTACTGCCTCTATCCTTCTAGGCATACTCTCAATTAATTTCTGGCAATCCTCAGCTGTGATCTTCCCCCATTCCACTGCTACTCTCTCCCAAAGCTCCCATACTCCTTTAGGGGGGTTTTCATAGGCTTGAAGCTTTTTCTTGAGTGTTCCCCAGAGATGTTCAATGACATTGACATCAGGAGACTGTGCTGGCCAGTCAAGAACATTGATGTTATGTTCTTCAAACCATTCCTTAGCTCTTCTGGATGTGTGCTTGGGATCATTATCCTGTTGGAAAATGATATCTTCTTCATCAATCCCTGATTCTGCCAAGCTAGGCAGCAAGTGGTCATTTAAAATGTCCACATACTGCTCAGCATTCATCTTCCCCTCAACCTCAGCAAGCATTCCCACACCATTCCATCCCATACAGCCCCATACCATTAAAGAACCTCCTCCAAACTTGACAGTCCCATTAACCTCTCTGTCTGTTAGGCCATCTCCCTTCTTTTTCCATACATATACCTTCCCATCTGACCCAATCCTATTGATTTTGGTCTCATCTGACCATATAACATGCTTCCAGTCCTCTACAGTCCAGTGTTGATGAGCTAAGGCAAAGGCTAGTCTTCTCTGCCTATGTTTGATGGAGAGAAGAGGCTTTTTCTTCTTTGTTACTGCCTTGAGATGAGCTGCCTTGAGAACATTCCTCACAGTTTGTGAAGAGACAGGGGTAGTGATGGTGGAATTGATATAATGGGTGGCTTGGACAGCATTATCAGCCTTTCCTGTAGTGATATGTTGGATAATAGCCCTTTTGTCAGTAGAGGTAAGCTTGGATGGACATCCTCCACAAGAGTTTTCCTTGTCTGGGTGGCTTTCTTTGATAAACTTGGCCACAGTGGGCTTGCATACTCCAGTTCTAGAGGAAATTTGGCAAGCAGAGAGGCCAGCATAAGACAGAGAGAGGATATTATCTCTTTGAGCAGAGGAGATGGCTTTCATGGTGATTATGACTATGATACATGAGATATTCTGGTTTATATAGTTAGATATAGTCATAAAATAACATAATGACACCACTTCATAATTTATATAATAGTAGCATGATTTTTGTGGTGTCATAAATAATGATTTATATAGTTTTAATATACACTCAAAAAACTGTCCACATGAGTCATCATTTTATAAGCCTTATGTCTCCACCATATCTCCACCGATTCCCACGGTGTAGGGCTCAAATGAAAGCCCTAAAGCCATACTACAATGTGGTATAAGCATGTCCTTGACACATTTGTTTGTTCTCACACAATATCATAGATAGTGAAAAATGTCAAAACATGTGGACAGTTTTTTGAGCCACTGTACAACTACCTACAAAACTCATACATTTTTACGACTTTTGAGTTTTGGGTTTTGGGTTTCAATGTTCAGGGTTTGATGTTTGGGCTTCAGGACTCAGTACTCAGTGATTCGAGTTTCAAAATTTGTTTTGATGTTTGAGTTTCAAGTTTCAGGTTTTGGGTGTCAGGTTTATGTTTATGTGTGATAACAACTACCTCGCCCCACCCGTCAATATAATATATATCACTAACTCAGCCTATATGTCCATATGTCCATATAGTATACAAATACCTTGGCCCTTACGTCTATGGACTGTCTTCCAAGGTATTGCTGGATTCCGAGTCAACAGGGCGCTTGGCTGTGTTGACTTTGATTGACATTGACAGAATCCAAGTCTGAATGTCATTGATGACTTGGATCAAAACTAGTGCAACAGCATTGCTCATATGTCCATATAGTATACCAATACCTCAGCCCATACATCTAAATGATATATATCTGGGCCCACCTGTCTATATGACATCCCCCTATGTTGGCCCACCCGTCTATGTAATATACCCTATGTCAGCCCACCCATATATATAATAAATATTTCACTGCCCCATCGGCCCACCCATCTCTATAATAATATCTGCCATACATCTCTCTTTAGCCCAGCTGTCTATAATATATGTCTATCCTTCTCTACATATTGCCCAGATGGGCCCACCCATCTCCATTGGTAATAATATTTCTCCCAGCCCATCCACCATCATCGAGGATATTTATAACATCAGCATAGATGGGCCCACCTGTCCCCATCAGAAATAATATCCCTCCTGGCCCACCCATCAACATTGAGGATATACATAACATCGGCCCATAGTCCGCTGGCCTGTATAATATGGAGTTTGTCACTGAAGGGGCTCCCATCAAAGCTGACCAAGTTGACTGTATTCTGGGCGGAACTATTTTCCCCATTCACTGATGCAATGTCCTTCATCAATGGTGATATTAAATAAGTATGGGGTGAACTTCTTCAATTTTCACAATGACCTCTCAACATGCTTGTCAGATATGTGTTAAGAACCATGTTGCTCAAAGGAGAGAGAGACTGACTCAGAGGGGCTTGGCCTCAGCTCATATGCTGTGCCCCTTACCCGAGTATGTGCCCTTCATTTCAGAGGGAGTCCAATGATGGTCTGATGAAGTCCGGAGGACTTCTGGAGGCTGGCTACTCTGGTGGAGTGCTAGAGGACTTCCAGAGGAGTGCAGGAAATATCCAAAGGAGCACAGGAGAGTTCCAGAGGAATGCAGGAAGTGCTCAGGAGAGTTCCCACTGCAAGGTAGTACTTCTACAGGAAATGGGATGGAAGGGTAGGAGGTCCAGAGGACAGGAGGACAGGAGGACAGGATGTCTGGAGGTACACAGAACAGGACATGGAGGTATGGAAGACAGGATGTCTAAGGGTTAGGAGGACAGAACATCTGAAGGACAGGACATCCAGAGGTCCAGAAGGAATAGGGGCTATATCAGACAAAGTCTGATGTAGAAGCAAACAGAGGTAGACTACCCTTAGGTAGAGTTGGAGAGACGGGAAGTGGACCAAAGTCTGGAGAGAGGGTAAGTGCCAGAAAGGCAAGACTCCAATCTAGGGAAGCAATCCCTAGACTTGGGACAGAGACATAGGGGACAAATCTGAAGGTCTGGAATTCTGGCCTAGGGAATCCATCCCTAGGCCTTATGGAAAAGGACAAGACTCAGATGGACTGAAGTCCAGAAGAAGATTGGGCAAATAGAACAGGATCTAAGATGATATTCAAACTAAGGAAACTACAGGAGTATCTACAGGGGTTATATACTGGACAATATCTGAGGGGATCAGTAAGCAAAGGAGCAAGGCTATGTACGAGCATGTGGAAACACATTAGTAAGTAAGACAGAACATAAGTAAATGAACTTGGAGATGAAGACTCATACAAGGATCAATAAGCAAGACGGAACAAGAGGTAACTGAAAGCCGGAAAGGCAGAGATGCCTAAATGGGGATAGGCACAGGATATCAGACAGAGGGTGGGAATAGGTCCGGAGATCTGGGGATCCGGAAGACAAGGTGGATACAGGACTGGGATATGAGAAGGTGGATATAGTCCTGAATCCAAGACAAGGTGAAGTCTGGATGTCTTGTTAGATGGAGTGTGCATAGGGTGGATGGGACAGAGGGGTATGGATCAGGCTAGCAGTGGAGATCCAATGGTCCAGAGCTCAGGGGTAAATCCGGAGCATAGTCGATCCTGCTGAAGTGTGGAGCACACAGCAGAAGGGGATCTGGGAATGAGTTGGATATGAAGTGGGGTCCGGACATAGGCTCGGAGGCGTGGGAATATGATGGAATGTGGGTCTGGATTGTGGGATATGACAATATGACAAGCTCTGGACTGATTATAACCACTCTGTAATGTAAGTCCTCAATTTCCTAAAATCCAATGAGACAGAGTGCTAATGTTGCAATAAACTTGCACTTACTTTGAATAATTCATCACTCATGTTCTGTCCAGTGACATTAATGCAGGTAAGACCAAGCATATTCAACTCCTTGACATTCTGGTCTCCAAGGCTATTCAAAGCTGTAATAACAGTCATGACCACATTGCCAGTGAATAGAAGAGGGACCCAGAACATCAATGTCTTTCCCACTCCAGTGGGTGCAACAGTAATGACATCCCTGCACTTAAGCTGCTCAACTGCAGATTGAATCTGAAAGTTGCATGGTCTGATGTTGTATCTTCTCCTGACCATGGCTTTGATTGTTGCGTTGTCTGGGATATCATACTATAGAGTAGACATAATGAATGACAGAACTGATTTACCAAAATGGGATCCTGCCATTTCATGCACTCAGAGGTTTGCTTAGGGTCTTGTGTATGTTTTGTGCACCCTTCAGGCAGGGGACAAACAAGGCCAACAACTGACACCACAACAAGTTATGCCAGTTGCTATGGGGAGGTAGTCTCAAAATTGTTGCTTAAAATAATTATATAATTGTGTGGTTCTGTTGACAAAGTGGCTGCCTCAGGATGTAGACTGACCTCCCCACATGATGGGTAGGAGTCTGATATATGCCAGGTATCTTGGTTCAGATTCTTGCAACCAGTGTGACAATCATGTTCAGGCTAGCCTGCTATGACCCTATTCTGCAATCCCCATCCAGTCCACACATCTCCTACTCATCTCTGACACTTTCCCACCATCTCCATATCTCTGATGCATTGGACCTGCTTGGATATCCCATGCACTTGTCCCCACTGGTGCATAGTCAGTTATTCCTCATTACTGATCAAGTAGACAGCATTATTACATGGATTACCACTGGCTGCAGTACCTCATGGCCTTTTACCTACATATTATCAGACCACATTTTTGCTACTACTTTCACCTATGGACTCCAGACTTTCATGTAGTTAGTTATCTAGGGTTGGGTGACCAGAATTACAATCACTACTGAGTAGGAGGGAGAAATCCCTGATACTGGCCACCCCATACCTGTCCTTAGAGTTACCCTTGACAATATACCTGTTTACCCACTCTCCTTGACCTGACACTATTGTCACTCATTCACTCAACATTCCTTAACATCTCCAAGCTAGTCCTAATGCTTTGCCTTTCTTTCCCTTACTCTCCTGCCATCTCTGCATCTCTGCACCTGCAGACCTGATTTCCCATGCATCAGACTTCACCCATACCTTCAGACTTGATCTCTGACCTTCGGACTTTTGACCCTTTGCATAGTACTGATTATTGAACTTGACTAGACAGCAGATCCTCAGGTTGAACATTCTTGCTTGCAAGTGTAGCAGCTAGGCAGGACTAGTAGACATATATTGGCTAGGTATCCTAACAACTATCTAGCCAAGTTGTGTTATCCACACTGGGCTTCATGACATGTCGATTTCCTATGGGTACACTGGTTCTGTTGAGACTCTAATCATAAATCCAGCTGGGTTGCACGTCAGCTGCACCAGATTGGCTTTTATGATGCCAATGAGGTCAGAGCAGATGCTTTTGGATTTGTCAACCCTGCACAAGTATTTGCAGTGTCCATGTGATCCCAGGATTCACACATGGGTCCACTGTGAACCTTCTTCCTCCATCAATTGCTCAACAGCCTTGTGAAGGTGACACAGATTATACTGGTACTACATCAATCAGTTGGTGGTTTTTTTACTTGCAAAACAAATGGTTGACTTACATTTTTTTTAGATTTGTAGACCATGACATGTTCATGTGGTTCTGTGGTGGTGTTGGACACAAGACCACACAAGAGGCAACACAAAGTTTCTATGAGGACTGAGATGCACTTGACTCAGTGCCATTTATGAAGGAAAGCGAATGCACCAGTATGTTTGACATACAAGGTTTGCCAATGAATGAGGACATCAACTCAGAGTCTGGCAATGATTGTGAAGACACACTGGCAGATGCAGACATGTGCAGCATCAGCAGTTCCAGTGAGGAGCATATGGATTGTACAGGAAGCCAGTCTGAGTCGGATAATGAGCTTGAAGAAGCAGAGAACTTACAGAGTGCTACTCATGAGTTTGACACAGATTTGATTGATGGAGACAAGGAATTGGATGAAGAGGCTGATGATGACAAAGATGGTTCATGTTACAACCATGTATGCCCCTATTCACTTTCTCTCTTACTGTGTATTATGTCATGAGCCACATGATGCCACTGCTAGACTTATCTTTGACTCATACTTTGTATTACATCACGATCGCCATTGCCATCGCTAGATGACCTATTCTTGCTATCACTTATGTATCCCTTATCTCTGACTCATATCCATTCTCATGTCTGCCCTAAAGCACTTGTAGTTCACTATAAATAGCCCTCTTGTACACTTTAGTCCCGCACTTTAATCTTACTAGGTTTTACCTGAAATCTCCTTCGCTTGAGACCTCCAATCTCTTGTCATCTGAACCATACTTTAAGATAGAAGCACTCCTTCTGTCTTAGCTTACACTGAACACTTGACTTATCATCTCGCATAGAATCTCAACAGAAGTCTTAACTCTTATTGAGTTGTCTGTTGTTAGAACTATCCTAGTTCATAACAGTTCAGTGTTGGATAACAAGCATAGTGAGTTTGGTTATGGTGACCTAGAGGAGCAGTTGTTATTGGATGACAGCCCAGACTCAGAGGAAGGCTCACAGGATGAACTAGATGATGCTGTTCTTGGTGCTGAGGATGGAGAGGGTGCTACAGATACTGAAGAGGATTATGGTGACTATGCTGAGCATTAGAATGCATTAGAAGGACTTGTCTTTCAGCCATGTGAGGGAAGAAATATATTACATTACTTGTATTGATGATTCTTGCATACATACATGTGTGAGTGATGTGGTTATAACATTACTTTGTCATCTGGGAGCCGCCTTACAATGCCTGGCACGATGCCCATAAGGCCTGTAACCATGTTTGGAACCCTATGCCAGGCTTACAGCATTTGCCGAGGCCTTGTCAGCTTGCACCACTTTTCACATCGGGGATCTGAATATTTAAGACTGGTTTGAATGTCATGCGAAATGTCAAGATAATACTTAATATTTAGGTTGTCATCTTAGCGGATGTAAAATTTCAAATGTTAAAGAGGTCTTGCATGACAAC